CTTCTGGCCAGTGACTTCACGAGGGCGAGTGCTCTAAACTTTTCCCTCCTCTTTTGAATTAATACTGTACTCCACATTTTTTTTTCTTTCCATTTTTTGGGGACCGACTACTGGGTTGTTTTATATTACATTTTCCTTTCAGAACTGTTTGAAAATGGAGCTCATGCCATGCACGTGAATATTTTGCCTTCTCTTAGCTGATTTAATCAGCATGGCTGCCATTATTCATGCAATTGCATGAATAATTTATTTCACTGTTGTAAAAGTTTAATAGAAGTTTTCTTGTCTTTATCAAATTCCATGTTATCCTGTTCGTTGTATAGCGGCAACGCAGTCAGAATGTAAAGCAGCTCATATCAAAAAGTGATGAATGGCGTGCACTGCATTAAAACACTTGCCTATATTTTATTGCCATATTACTTCTGATTAAATAAGAATTTACACATGAAGAAAATACAGTAGCTCTACAGATCTAACCTGTCAGTGCTACTTAGAGAGATTAGAAAAAAATTGGAATTGCATTACTGTAACTAAGATGTCCAGCCTCATTTGAACTGTCCAACCGGACACATGGTTCTTGTCCATAAACATTTGTGTGCATGTAACTCCTACCCACTGAGTAATACTACACTGCTGATGAATTCCTAATCCAACATGATTGTTATTTCTTACATGGAGGCACTAGAAACAAATATTTGTTCAGTTAGTTTTTCTGTTACATCCCTCAAATTATTTGCTTTCACTCAGTGAAATTACTCTATAGATTGGAAATATCTTAATATTTATATGCCTTCCTTTAATGCTAGTAGTGAGACCTTATAAACAAGAGCCATCAACATTTATAGCTACATGTTAGGAAGGACACATTTTATCAAATCGTAGGTGCCGAAATTGAAAACATGCTCTTTTCATGTAGTTGGGTGCTAGATTCTTGAAAGATAGAAATTCATTCAAGATAGCTATGAATATATCCAAGGAGGCATTTATGTATTAAAGGATGAAAGCCTATATGACATAGATACAGAGGAACAGTGGTTGGTCACTGTCCAAAAAATGCTCATGTGCTGACACAGGTCCGCAATCTCTTATCTTAACTCTTGGAGCCAGAATGTGCATTAGAAATCAGTAGGGAGGAATTTTAGAGAGATAATGTAATACTGATATTCTTCATCACGTAACATATCCTGGTGGGTTAAGAGCTCTAGAGCAGCACCCTATAATAAAACTATTTGTATTTCCTAAGCCAAAATCACAAATGTTCATTCTGTGTGGGTTAACGAATGGTATAAATTTATATCAGTTCTAATCAGGTCAGGTTTTGCTACAAATGAGCCATTCTGGTTGCTTCAGATTGTGTATTCGTACCTACATCTCAGTGAACATTAGTGAGCCCCTGCATGGCCTGGGTACTGTGCTAGATGCTGTTCCAAAAATCAAATATGTCACAGTCCCTTTTCCCAGGAAGCGTTCGGTCCAGTGAATGAGACACCCAGGCAAGCCAGTATTTACATGTTTGCATCGGATGGAAAAGAAAGAGCATGCAGATGACACTGGGGAATCAAAACAAACTCTTAAAGAAGTTGCCATCTCTAATCTTACAAGACATGTAAATGAATATATATACATATTTTAAACATTTCCAGAATAATTGCACTTCTGCACTTGCTTTAGGAACTGAACCATAAATACAGCAAACAGTTCTAAACTCCCCAAATCCCCTCTTGGTAAAAGTAAACTTGTACTGGTGTATGCCACAGTAAGAAACAATTTGTAGATGTCAGTGGTTTACAACAAAAATAGTTTATTTCTTGTTTATGTTACATGTAGATTGTTCCATGTGACTTCTTTTTCCTGGACACAGGCTGAAGGCGTCCTGCAGTCCCGAGGAATGTAGGGGGGAAGGAAGAGAATAGTGGCAGGACCATGCTATGCCTCCAGGGCACCGGCCCACAACTGCTGCATGACATAGCTGTTCATATTTACTGGGCAGAAGCGAATCACATGGTAAAGCCTGATATCAGGGAAGCACAATCTTCCCACATAGATGGCCCACAGTAGTGTCCAATAAGGAACAGGCAGCAAGTTTTGATATTGATACAATCTACCACAGTTGGCATTTTTCATTCTGTGGACCATGTCCTTTACTGATCAGGTGCTCTGTCTCCCTGAGTTAGCAGACGTCTCTCTATTGAACAAGTGGTAAATCAACTTCCTCAACAAGTGAGAACCATTTCTATTAAATGAGAAAAATGTCTCATTGACAGAAAATGGGAGTCTGGCATGACAGAGTTTGATGAACAGACTAAAGAGTACAAGAATTAGAAACTTAAGAAGATTTATCAGTAACCAAAAACAATTGAGCACTTGGCAGCAGGCAGAAAGCTGTAGGTCACCATTAATCACCATTAAGTAAGAGGTCAACAAGGACAATGTTTAAAAAAGGAAGAAAAAGACCAAACATTTCTGGAATCATATTCTAAACTATTTCAATAATTTAACTAAAAAGTAAAAAACTGCAGATAATTATTTCAAAGATCTTTAAGATATAAATGTACTGTTACACTGGATGAATACACTGGGATCATTTAGAAAAACTAAAGCTGGGGAATTCATATGCATATCTGATATCCTAGAAACATTTTTTTTAATTACGTAACCACTGGACAAGGAGCATAAAATCAAATTCAAGGATTTAGTATGAGGATTAAGTACCTATTTACAAGATCAACACACCATAAAGTAATGACATACTATCTGTGAAATAGATAGTGATCCTCGACAGAAATAGGAGCAGTTTTACAAAAGTGATAAACCTACTAAGTATAGTGTTCTTTCTCTCTCTTTCTCTATCAGTCTCACTTTCTTAAATACAATACTCATTTTGGTTTTCCAATGATCATAAAATTATAAGAAATTGCACAGGTCCCATAAAAGAAACAGAAAAAAATGGTAATGACATCATTATGGTCTGTGTATATGAAATATTACCTGTATATGTTATATATAATAAATTAATGGTTATTAAACCTAAGGCTGTATGAGAAGATTATATTCATGTACTTATGAGGAAAGTTATCTATAAGTTATATTTTTTTAATCTTGCTTCAGAACAAAAATAAAAGAAATGGGATTTAGTTGAATCAAAAGATTTAAGATTGTGAAGAAGCTTCAGTCATATTCATATGTATTTGGTTATGGCAATTTCCAAAGATCATTATTTTAATATTAACTGAAATTAAATAATTTTATAATTCAATTTATGTGACTGTGATTAAGTTACATATTCGTATTTATTTCTACATGAGTAATATCAATTCTGGTCCTTGTTTGCAAACATTAAAAATAACTGACTAATTAAAGCTGAAAAGGAATTTATTACAAGGATATAGGTACTTGTAGGTAGAATATAAAAGGTCATGAGACTGCTGCTCCCACTTTAACAAAGAGAACAAAGCAGAAAATTTATAAAATTATAGTTTTGTTTTTTTCCATTAGATAGCTGACGATAAAAAGAAATACAAATGGATTAAATTCCAAAAAGGGAAGGACCCTTCCTAGGAGAGAAGAACCCCAAGACCTATGGACACAAAAGGAAAAGGAAAACCCACTCTAGGTAAGAAGAAACTAGCCAAAATTTTAACAAAGCTTTAATAGCCACATAATGAATAAAAATCTTAAGAAGGTCCTATGAGAGTGTGCACAATCACCAGTTTTATCCCACAGGACCTTCACTGAATATACATACAGCTATTGGGCTGTAAAACATAAAGAATTCTACTGGTGCTCAGATAAAGTAGACCCAATCTCTCTCATACAACATTTGAAACCTGTGGTGGGCTAACAGATCTAACGAATCTACTACAAGCCTCAGGCGCAGCTCAGCTACAGATTAGACTGCTTCAGCTTTGTCAGTTGCAGCCTGTCACGGGCATTCCTTTTCCTTAAGTAAATAATATTCAAAGTCCTTCTATGCACAGTTTCTGGCATAAAGTAAAAATGTGTGGTACACAAAAAGCAGGGTGATGTGATCCATCAATACAGTAAATAGTCAATAGAAGTAAATCCAAATGTGACCAAAATGTTACAGTTAACAAATAAAAAATTCAATATGAATATGTTTTCTAAATTAATGGAAAAGGTGGTCAACATGTGGAGACAGACAGAATTGCATTTCAGTAGAGAACTGGAAGTTTACCACATACACAAAAAAGAAATTCTAGGACTTAAATATACAATATTATATATGTTGAATTCATCCAATTTATTTTACATTAGTCTGGGGGAAAAAAAACAGAAGAAAGCATCACTGAGCTCATAGTCAAATTAATTGAAATTATCCAAACTAAAATGAAAAGAGAAAGAAATTTTGTACAGAACAGAAAATCATCCAAAACCTGTGGTCGAATGTACATGTATTAATTCTAAGCAGTAGAATAGGAAGAAAATGGAGCAAAAGAAATATTTGAAAAGACAATAGTCAAGAAATGTTGAAACTGATGAAAGATATCAACCCACAGATCCAAAACAAAAAAATGTAGGGAATCTCAAACAAAATAAGTACAAAGTCAAACATCTGAAAACCAAAGATAAAGAGAAAATTTTAAAAGCAGATACACACACACACACACACACACACACACACACACACACACACACACTCACTCACTACATTCAGGGGAAAATAATAATTAAAATGGAAGACTTCCCAAGGAAACAATGAAAGCCATATGACAGTGGCATGACATCTTTAAAATGTTGAAAGAAAAAGAAAACTGTCAATTTACAATTCTATACTCTGTGAAAATAGCCTTAAAGATTATCATAAGGGCACTAAAAGAAATAATGAAGTTCTTCAGTCTAGATGAATCAGACAATACCCAGTGGAAAATAGGTTATACAGCTCAGGTCATACGGTCATCCATTGTTCCATGTTCAGATGTTCAGTTTCTGTAAAGTATCAAGAGAAAACCCAGAGTTATTTTTCAAAAAAATAGTGTATTGATGAAGAGGATACAGCTTTTCTTCAACCTTCCTGTTGTGATTTTTCTACTAGACCTTAACACTAGCTCCATATCTCATCCTGACCTGCCACAGACACTTCAAGTATCATCAGATCCATTGTTTGTAAGAGGCAAATGGTGGAGCTGCTTGCAATGAAACCTAACCTAGCTAAAGACTCTTTTCCTTGTTCTGAAATATACTTCTTGCAAAAATATCTCAAAATATATTATGAAAATTATACTTGAAGCAAATAAAATATGTATGATGAGCTATTGCATACTCCGAAATAATATTGTAACTCATAAACATCCTGTTCTGATAATTTATTGCTCAGTGACAAACCACCCCAAAACCTAGTGGTTTAAAGCACCAACTGTCATTTATTTTACTCACAAATATGCAATTTATACAGGGCTTAACAGGGGTAGCTCATCTTTTTTTCATGCAGTGTCAGCTGGAGTGGCTTAAGTAGGGCTATCTAATGCACTTTGCAGATGCCTCAGTCATATAGCTAGCAATTTGGTGATAGCTGTGGGCGGGGGGCTTAACTGAGGGAGGTGGTTGAGGAAGTCAGCTCCTCTCACACAGGCATCTTTCTGTGGCTGCTTGGGCTCCCTCACAGTGTGGTTGCTTGTTCTAAGAGCAAAATCTCTTAATAATAGAGAACATGGAAGCTGCCAATCTCTTAAGATCTGGTTCCAGAGACAGTTATCTTATCACTTGCACTGTGTTCTATTGCTCAAAATAGTCATCAAACCCACTGAGAGTAAAGGAGCAGGGAAAAGACTTTACCCTTTAATGGGAGAAGTAGCAGCTGATAGTTTACAAATCATTGTTTCATACATTTCTCATTTCATTTTCACAACTATTCATGTAGAGAGGGTAGAAATATTTATCATGTGTATATAAGAAACTGGGGTCCAGAGACATTAAGTGACTATCTCAGCTTATCCTATGAAGGCAGAACCTGAGCTTAATTTTTCAAGACCAAACCTAGTTTATTATACCCTTCATTACAATGTGCTCCAAACCTGTTTATTTTTTATGAATAATGGCTTTGTCATGCAATCCCAGAATCATGTCACTCTAAAATTTGGTAAGAATGTTTCAACCCCACTATTACAATCATGAGAGGGTCTGAAGACACCCTTGCCACAAACCATCTTATCTTATTTTACAGGCTTGGGTTATGGCTGTTCAATCTATTTCAAATGCACCTAATCTTCTCTTTTTAGAACATTCACCTTACATTTTGCCTCCACTAATAAACCTCCCCTTATTGCCCCAGCTGGGGATCCTGTATCCCTTCTTTGAATTACGTCTCTGCATTACTTATTGCTTTTCAGTTCTTGGCATTTATCGCACAATATTTCATATAATGTGTTTGATTATCTTGCCTCCAAAAGCTAAGATCCTGAAAGGAAGAGGCTATGAGACAGTGACTCATATTTCCTTCTCATTGCCTAAAGAGCCCATCACAGTAGTTTATACATGGCAGTGGTTCAATAAATATGTTAGAAGGAGTAGAAAAGCAATTTCAAGAGCATGTAGTGCAAATTATTTACATGAGTGTTACAACTCCTTCATTTGATTGGTTCTAAAATAGTCTTCTCAAGCTCCACTAGGCAAGCCCTGTTCTTGGTTATCTAGAATTGAGTATATCATGCAGCATATCCATCCCAATGATAGCTTTCAAAATCCTAATGACTTTATTCACATCCCATTTCAATTGTTGAGACCAAGTTTAACTTCAAAGTAATTAAATAAGTTTCCATTCAGTAGAAATAAGTCACAGAGACACCACCTAAATAAGTAAAATGTGTATTTATTTTGCTTTGATGGAAAATAAAAATAGAATCCCACTAACCTAAATATAGCTTGTTTTCAGTTGTAAAACTTCATGAGTTGGTTACGTAGAAATAACTTTCATGAGTAGTAGGTGAATTTTTCTGCTTTCCTCTGCTATACATGTGTTAGAGCTGCAGAAAATCATATGTCTTTAAGCTAAAAGCACACTAATTTCTTGTTGTTGAGAGAATAGCTGTAAGATAACAGGTTACCCTACAGCACTGTATTCGCTTAGGTAGTACTAGCTATAGTAACATAAACCACCAACTTCTAGTAGGGTAACACAAATTTTTTTTTCACTGATCTCGCAATCCAATGTGGATGTTTCTTGTCTGATAGTGACCCAGAAACCCAGTCTCTTCCCATCTTGTGGTTCTGCAACATAGGATTCTAAGTGGTCATCTGGAAATCAAGAAGGTAACTAGAGAAGATTGTATAAGGCAATCAAATCCAATCTAAAAAAAAACATGGGTTATCAGCTCTTTTGTTTCTTTAGCCATTAAGCAATAAACTAATAGCTGGACATTAATCACTAGGGCTCTAAAATAAAAGGTTTGGATAAAATGAAAAATAATTAATGAATATTACTGGTAGCATAATTGATAAGTTAGTTTACTCTTTGTCCATATGTCTCTGCCTCTTTGCCAGGATGAAAACCTACAGCTCTACTAAGTAACTGATTTATTTTTTGTCACTTTCAAATGCAAAACTATGATTCTCTGTCAAAATCAATTTTATATTGTGTGCTATGAAAATAGTTCTTTTCTGCTGAATTTAATATCTGATTTACTTTAATAATTCCATTTAAAATTTATGGGTTTCAAAATATGATGAATCCCAGGAGAGAAGTAACTGAATTCATTTCATCTTATAATGGCTTCATCACAGTTACTCAGGTAATTTCATTTTGACTCAACCCTGAATGATTTTAATTACAAAGTAAACAGATACCATGATATAGTCACACACAATAAGAAATGGGGATTTTGGGTCAAGACCTTGCCCTTAGTTCATGCACTGATACACTCCTCTGCTCCAAACACATACCAATTATGTCTTAAAAAATGTTTAAAGAAAGCCAAAAATTAACACCTCCGTTTGAAAATAGGATAAACAACTCTGTGGTTCAGAAACAGCAGGAATACAAAGGAGCCAGCGGGATGAGCTCCAGGTGTGAGTTTAGAAGCAGGCAGTGTTAAGCAGGAGCTCACTCCCCCAGGGTGTCGGGAAGTTGAACTGGACAGCAAATGAAGCCAGCAGCTGCGGCGGGTCTGCCTTCTTCTCTGGTAAAAAGAGGCACCGAACATGCTACTAATCTCTACCCACCGCCAAGGGTCACAACAAGCTGCCAGTCTCCAGAGGCAGGAGGAGGGAAGGGCCTATGACTAAACAAACGACTCCTTCGGACTGATGCCTGGATCCCCAAGGGTCCCGTCACCGAGAGGGGAAATCATCAGCTTAAACTGTTATCATAAGGACAGTTCTGGACTGTGTGTGGTGCTCAGTCCTGACAGTGTTACCACAGAAAGGAGACGAGTCACTGAGAGAGAGAAAAAAGTAAGAAAAATACTTATCAAAAATGTTTCCTCTCAAAATGAGCCTGCAACCCAAAGTTCTAAAATATATGAAGAAATACAATTTTAAGAAAGACAGCCCTCCAGATGAAATTAATAATATAAAACAATCTGACCTATAGACTTTGTAAATGCATGTTTAAGATGATCAAAAGAAAAAAATGAAGGCCCACTATTCATTTAAAGCAGTGGTCTGCAAACTTATTTTTGTTAAGTGCCAGGTAGTAGATAATTCTTGGCTTTGCTGGCCATACTGCCTTGTAACTACTCAAATCTGCTATTAGAGCAAGAAAGCAGCCATGTACAATATATACCTGAATCGGTGTACAAATATATACCTGAATCAGTGTGACAGTTTCAATAAAACTGTATTTATAGAAATGGCAGTGAGCCAGATATGAACTATGAACCACATGTGCAGACCCTTGATTCAAAGAAACAGGAAATTATAAAACAAAAACAGATAGAAATGTAATAGGAACTGGTAGATATGAAATGAAAAGACAAGTAGAAATATTAAAATAAAAAAATAGTATTGATATAAAACAATGTTCAAAAAGAAATGATAAATTGTTTTTTAAAAACAAAGCAAAAACTTACATAGTTTAAGCTCATTAAGGTTTATTGAATTTGGGTAGAAAATAGAAATACTACATAAATTTTAGACTTGGTTAGGGAAATAAGTATAATTAAGTACTATGTTTAAGACATATTTAAAATAATTGTTAATATAATAAGAATATATTTTATGGCTTCCAGCGCAGCAGATAGGAATAATAGGTACGGAGTCAAAAGCAACATTCATAGCATCCTATTCTATCTAGACACATGATAGCATTGCATTTCCCTGCCCAGTTGAATTCAGGGGTGTCCAAGTAACTGCGTTTGGTCAATGATACGGGGGTGGAAGTGGCCTGTATCACTTGTGGATGGCAGTTTTAAAAGCTAGGTGAGTGTTTGGCATATCACCTTTCTCTGCTTCTCCAGGATGTATGTATGGAGGTGGAGGCTGCAATAGGTGAACTTTCTGAGCGATCAGTCAGCCACTCCACAATGATCTTGTAGAATGAGTAAGAAATAACCTTAGTTTGAAGCCACCAAGGGTTTGTGCTTTGGTATTCCAGTCTCCCTAGCTTTTCCTGTCTGATAGGCTTTAGCAATCAAACTGAAACCATAAAAGGGGAAAATAAGGGTAAAGAAAAAGGCTGGCAAACAGGAAACAATGTAATAATAAGACTAAATACATTATAAATCACAATAAAGGTTAAGTAGATTAAACTCACTCATTAAAAGAAAGATTTATTGGATTGGATTAAAAATTATATGCTTCTTCAAAACACACTTTAAGAGCACATACATACACAGTGCGTTAGTGCAAGGTTTCCGAGAAGCAGACACTAAGTCAGGATTAGATGTGCAGGAAATTTTTTGGAGAAAACCAAAGGCAATGGTCAGGAAAGGCGTGGGAGCCTTCCCACTGTGAGGCAGGTTTGAACCCTGCACAGGACAGGGTGAGGGGAGGACCTGGTAGGAAGTGTCTTGGAATTGCAGGTAAATGTTTAACATTCTAATTTGGAGTCCTTGAGTCAGAGTCACCGGTTGAGGAGCCCAGCATGGCCCCAAACTGGGCCTGCATTTGTTCTCCCAGTATGCTCGGTCTCTGACTGGGAGTAGCCTGTGGGCAGTAAGGCCTCATCATGGACATTGTGTCTGATGCAGAAAAGCAGAGGTGGGCTTCCAGAGCCAGAGATCTGAGCCACGCATCCTCATGGCTACCACAGACAGAAACTTATATAGACAGGGATGATTTCTAACATGCAATATTTTAACAGAAGAAAGCACAAAAATAGTGATGCCAGCAAAATAGTTAACAGCTAAAAGCATGTAGAAGAATAAAGAAAGAAACTAAATAATAATAAAAGGAATCTGTGGAGGCTTTGCCCTGGGTCAGCTTAGCCAAACTGGAACTAGGCTTCCCAGAATTCCCTTCCCAGTATGTTTTCAGACCACAGTTTGCCTCAGTAGAAATTTGCATGAAATTCGGAGGGTGGAAGTTAATAGTAGCCACTCCTGTGCTCTGCAGCTCAGCTGTCGTGGCCCCCGGGGCAGCCCCCCAAGCCCAGAACTCCTCTGACTCCTGCTGGGGCTCCTCCTGAGGCTTCTCCAACTTCTGCACCAGGGTACAGAGTTCTGCGGAAAAAGACACCAGCTTCTCCTGCAGGTCACCTACATCATCCGTGTGAGGCCTTGAAGACAGCGAGAAACAGACCCAGGTCCCAGCTTGTCCTTCCAGGTTCTGGTTTATTCTTGCTCTGCCGCTTCATGGCCGTTTGCATTGCTGGCTGTCGCCCCGCTGCCCTCAGAACCAGCACCTTACAGGAAGCAGCGTAGACAGGTTAGCCAGAGTCCACAGCTACAGACAGTCCATTTAGTAATCCCTCCATCCACATTATTCCCAGTACTTCCGACTCTCTAATCATGCCCCAACTGATCAGGAAGTTATCAAAGATCATGGGACAGGGAATAAGACTAACAGTGGAAAACTCACAAAATTCCAGTCATGGCATAAGAGTTTAACACACTTTTATTAGAAACTGAGAGATCAAGTAAACGAAAAATAAATAAAAATGTAAGATTGACCAATATTAACAATGTTGATTGATATGCATAAATTATAGACATACTTTAAGAGTATTAGACATACATGTGCCCAGAATATAGAAAATAAATTTTAAGTACACAAGAAAGAATATTGTCCACAGTTAAGTTTCAATAAGCTGAAGAAATTATATTCAGCATATTTTCAGATAATTATAGTTATAAAATATCAATAAAAGTATAAAATTTTATGAGTGAACAGCAACTAAAAACTCCAAAATAATCTTTGAATCAAAGAGCAATGGAAATTACAAAACATTTAGAGTGACTTTTCTCCGTATCATATATAAAACAATGTGTGTGATAAAGCAGAAATACATTTATAGTAAGTTTATAGACTTAAGTGCATGTACTGAAAGCAAAATTTAAAAAATTTTTAAATATGCACAAAGTGCATATTCAATGAAAAACTAGAAAAGATCAGTAAAGTAAACCTAAAATAGAAGAAGGAAATAATACAGATACAGGGCAATTGATAAAATGAAAATCTAGGAACAATAGCATGGACCAAGAATACCATTGTTCAAGAAACAAAGAAAGAGAGACAGCGTGAAAAACAATGCCAGAAATTAAAAGAGAACTAACCACCCATACTAGAAAGATTTTAAAAAGTCATAGGATATACTAGGAAAAATTTTGGGCAATGTATTTTACAATATTGATGAAATGGATAATATTTAGAAAATATAAATCACTAAAAAGAAGATGAAATGGAAAATCACAGTAAGGCAATAAAGTTTACAGAAATTGGATTATTAATAGCCAGATTAATTGTAGATTCCACAGAGGATCTGAGGCCCAGATGGCTTTCAAGATAACCTTGACTCCAAAGAAAAAATTACTGTTCTGTATAAACTGTTGTAGAAAACAACAGGAACAATAACAATATAGCAACAATTAGCACACCAGAGAATACACAAGAAAAGTATAGAACAATCTTGCTTACAAGCATAGATGCAAAAATAAAAATAAAACAAAGCAAGTGTAACTAAGCTAACTATTAAAAATAAATATATCATGAACAAGAAAAATTTACCCCAAGTGTCAAGATGGTCCGACATCAGAAATCTACAAGTCATAAACCATAGTTACACGTAAAGGAGAAAAATAATATGATCATCTATGTAGATGCTAAAAATGCAAATAAATTGTTTAAAATTATATATACAATAAAATATCTTAATAAACTCAGAATAGAAGGTGATTTCCCTAGCTTGATAAAGAATATCAATGAAAAACCTAAAGCAAACATTATCCTTAACTGTGAAACTTTAGAGACATTGTTTGAAATCAGAAACAAGATAAAGATGACTACATCATCATTTTATTTAACATGTTATTAGAAGTCTTAGTCACTGCAGGAAGTAAAAGAATAAAAGATACAAATATTAGGAAGAAAAACATGACTATCTTTATTTACAAATGACCTAATCACATGGGAAATCCACAGAAATATACAAATTATTTAAAATATTGGCAAGTCACAAAAGCTCCCTGGTCATGAGACCAGCATACAAAATAAATAGCAGTGGAATAAACTAAAAAGAGTCACTAAGAGAACAAGAAAATGAAATTCCATTCAAAACAGTATCAAAACCTGTAGATGCTAGGGTTCTACTTGATAAAATCTGAATGGGGAGACTCAAGCATATGGAGTCTTAACTTCCCCCAAATTCATATATAAATTCAATGTGACCACAGTAAAAATTGTAACATTTTTAAGGAAGTTGACAAAGTTATCCTAAAATGTCTTTGGAACGTTCAAGGACCAGGAATCCCCGGTACCATTCTGAAGATGAGCGTTATCAAGGGACTGGTCCCATCAGATAGAGCTTTCTGTATTTTTTATGATTAAAACAGTTATGTATTAAGCCAAGGATAGGCAAATTGACAAAGGATGCAGAACACAGAGATCAAAAATAGACTCAGACATATATAAATAGTATTATGTAATTTGAGTGTCACTACAAATGAGCCAGCAACAGGGAAATAGCCAATCAACAGCACGGGATGTTTGATTTGCCTTATGGGAGAAAAAATCAAATACTTACCCTGGCTATGCACAAAAATAAATTTCAAGTATATACCTAAAAGTGAAAACTAAAATTTCTAGAAGAAAAAAATGAAAAAACCCAAAACTTTATGAGTTTGAAGTAGGGAATAAGTTCTTAAATTGACACTCAGTGAACCCAAACCCAAAGACTGATAAACATGACGACATTAAAATTAAAAATGAAAATGTTATTCACGTCCAAAGTCACCACCAACACAAAGAGAAGCAAAGTATGGACTGGAATATGAAATTTGGAAATGCTTTGAGCTGTGCTTTTTAGTTTACATGAAATTCATTCATATCATATTTGATCTTTTCTTATGTAAATGAACAGCTGTCGTTGACCAGTGGATGCTGCATTTCTACATGACTGTTTTCTCATTTTCTAGTTTCTAAGCCTAACAAACTTTTATTCCATATATACTTCTTTTAAAACTTAAAATCCTATTAGCTTTATGTCAAAGGTATTTGTTGCTGTTCTTTCACCACTGAAACATTTACTCAGAATAACTCCTGTCCCTTCTGAAGTATTCAGTAAATGTAAATCAAAGGAAATTTAAGGCTTCAGGCTTTGGCCTAATGTTACCAACAATGAGTAGTATAACCGACAACCTGGGCGCTCTGCTGCGTGCAAACAAGGAGCGCATTCTCGCAGGGGTTCAGTGTGGGTTCCGTGGACGAGTCTTGAGTGGTGTCCTCAGGCTCCGCCCCACTTCATCAGAAGTACACCTTTCAGCTACATTTTCTCTCCTACCCCTGCTCCTGAATTACTTGGCAAAATCAATTTTTCCAGGCCACTAGTAAGGATTTTTTTAAATTAGCTTGGGAATGGTCGTGTTGGGAGCATGGGGAGTCTAAATTACTAGCACTGTTACATTCCCATTTCTGGTACCATATGGTTGAAATATGCTGAAGGGAAAAGCAACATACGGTTTATTTCTTTCCCTAGAAATTTCGATTTAGTAGTGACATACTTGGTAGCAGTGTGAAATGGAGAGAGAAAGCATTTGAAGAAACCTGGGAGAAGTTCCATTGACATGCCAGCACAAAAGGGGTCTCATCAAGTGCCTCCCTACTGTCATAGGGGGAAACACAGCATCAAATAAAACTGGGGCATGAAGACAAGGGAATCCCTCATAGCGGAGCGAGTCCCAGCACCCAGCAACGTTTACAAAGAAAGAGGTAAGTGAAAAGAGCCATCAGCCATAAAATTTCTAGACTTCCACTGTGCCTCAGTTACAACCTGAATCCACTGAGTGACTACACTCAGTTAAGTGATAAGAATAAAGTTGTTCTATTCAATTCAGAATATGCTTTGGTTGCCTTTTTTGATTGCCTATGAAACTAGTGTAACACCTGTATGCTTTTGATGCCAATATAAGGTTTTGGATTAGGACAGGAGAGAAATTTGCTCTGTGTGTGTGTGTGTGTGTGTGTGTGTGTTCATTCATCTGGCTGTGTCTAAAGACAGGATTGCACAGTAGAAACAGCAGATTTGGGAGCCAGAGAGACTTAGGTTGAATCCTGTGTCTTCCACTTATGATTGTGACCTGGACAATTTACTTAGTGAATCTTGTTTTCTCGACTTCAAAATAAAAATTATAATACCTAGCAGATAGCAGTTAAAAGGACTAAGGATTGCTTAAATGTGTAAAGTATAAATAATAATATAATAACAAAAACATGATAAATAGTTGTCTTGCTCTACTGAAGGGTGAACTGATACTGCGCTGTCGATTTTTCAGTATTCGTACAGGTCTTTTTAAGTCTTTTTAGAAATGCTATTACTGTATCAGAAAGGACTGAAATACGTCTACACTTAGTTATTGAATCTCTTAAAAGAAAATTCCTCAAAGTATGGTAAACTATTTTGTTCTCACTATAATTAAAAGTTATTGAAGCTATCAAGTTCATTTAATTGCTGTTTCTATGAATTTTTACCTAGGTGTATCCACATCTACCAGCAAGAACATACCATTGCACTTCAAAAGGATCTTCTAAGTGTTGTAAAATATTGAGCATATTGTTGATTTAAAATCTAGAATCCAGAAATTAATGGATTCTGAGTTTAACTTACTGAGGACTTAAAGATGCACACCTCAGATTATCAACAGATTCAAAGCCTTTGTTTTAGATGAACCCATTTCTTTCATTGATTCATTGATTCATTGATTCGTTGATTCATTGGTTCATTCAAGAAAGAAACAATGATCAGGAACCAACCAGGTTTTAACAATTCCTCTACTTGGTCACTAAAGAAACAAGTAGCTCCCAGTCCAGGGGGTTTCCATTTATATATTTTTCCATCATCCAACTGCCCTCCTCCATTTAAGCCTCTTTTGAATTATTGATTCTTCCAAGAAGTCAAAATCCTGTATGAAACTAGAAAACTCTCCTTCCACCCCGTGAACTGCTCATACAACACTTGGGGATCCCTGAAGTCACTCTTTCATAAACACATACTTTCCTGAACATACTTATAAGCTCTGTAATTACCAGAATAACTCACCAATTTTCACTGAAGGTTTTCTGGGTCTCTGAGTTATTGGCATTGGTATTTTTTAAAAAGAAAGAAAGAGACTATCTTTCAGCTTCCCCATTATATGATAAACAACACTGCTGCTTGGAAGTTCAGTTGCTTTGGTGATAATAATTCCTCAGCTCTAGCTCTTTTTCTGTTGACGGCAATAGTAATTATAAGAATGTAGAACGGCTATTGACTGGACGTAGGAATTGCTGTACTAAGGGATCCTTAAAATGGCAAGAACAGCCAAGAAAGGCGACTCCAGGAGAGGAGGAAGATTTTTAACTGGGAGCACTGGGAGACAGGGTGTGAAGAGGCTGAGGCGGGATACGGAATGAGGTGGAAGGAAGCTGTGACCTTCTCCAGTGCCATCACACCACTTGAATTTCTGTTGAATAAAACTACAATATTCAAAGGAAGTTAAGGTGATACAAATGTGAGTGGGCCACAAGGAGGGAAGAAAACTCGCATATAGGGTCAACTACCCGATTTGTTGTACGTCAGCAGCCAAAAGCCTTATAAATCTTTTGGTTGGTTGGAACCACTGGCAGGTCTCCGTCTGAATACTCCCGAGATTTTTCTCATTATCTCTCTAATGACCTTCCTTGTTGATATATTAACCTAGGATCATTAACTAGATTATTATAATAGGTTCTAGTTTTATTTCACTCTCACATCATTTTTCAACTTTTTAATTAAAGTGAAATTTTCATACAAAGAGTACATTTACCACAAATGAACATATTGTGTAACCAGCACCCAGACTGAGAAAGAGAACATTACCGGCACCCCAGAAGCCCTCCTGTACACAAGGGGAACAATTACCCTGACTGTGAACAGCACAGATTAGTTTGGCCATTTTTTGTACTTTATAGAAATGCAATCCTACAGTAGGTGTTCTTTTGTGTGTCTGGAGTTTTTCACTTAATATAATGTCTGTGAGAGTCACCCACACCCTTGTAACCAGCCGTAGGTCTTCTGTTCCCATTGCTGCCTGACATACCCTGGGGTGACACTACCACAGTTTGTGCTTCCATTCTAAGCGCAGGAGTATTTGAGTAGTTTCCAGTCTGAGGCTGCTGTGATAGTGCTGCTATGAACATTCCAGCACTTACAAATTATAATGAACTCCCACATAAAACCATGTTTCCTGGGATATAATGTGTTCACATTTTCAATTTAGGAAAGTCTTAGCTATTACTTACTAGCCTATATTCTCAGTACTTTATGAATACTTATTTATTTTATAACTCTCTTGACCATCCTGTGAGGGAGATACTATTATTATTCCAGCTTAACTTCTAAGGAAATGGAGGCCCAGGATAACAGCCACCGAACAGTAGAAGCAGGATTCGATTCCAGGCAGCCCGGCACAGCCTCAGGCTGACTTCTTAACTGTTTCTAGTAGACACTAGTACATACTGAATAATCACTAGCTCCCTCTGCTCCTTGGCACCTGGGCAGACAATGGTGTTTGCTGTCATGGGGGTCACAGCTGTGGTGCCCAGGGGTCCTCCCTCAGTGAAACTCATGGATATTTCTCAAATGAGCCCTATATTTTTCTTTCTTTGGGTCCTGTATTTTCGCCTAACTATTCTCCTTTCCACAGAAACTATCTGAGCTTCTGAGAAAGTTCTCTCTGCTCCCTGCCCACAAAAAAACAGAACCCGGTTTCACAATTTCTCCTTGCGTCCCCCAGGCTTTGGGAAATCCTGTCAACAGAACTGGAAGATACACACGTTGCCTTCACAGGCTATCCCACCAGCAGCCACTGCCCTTCTCAGGGCAAGAAAAGAAATGCAGAGGGGTATATTCTGCCAGTATTTCTCATTCTTTTATTCTTACCACACATTTATTTAGCCCTTACTATGGACCCAGGAAGTGTTCGGCATTATGGCAAACGTAAACTAAAGTCAGAATCAGAAATCTTACAAAGTATACTGCCCAGGAGATGAAATGAATAGGGTTTCACCTTTCAAAGTATGATATATGAAGCATATGTGAAGAAGGAGTGATATTTAGAAGATGTAACAGCTATCAAGGCATAAACACTGACCACAGAACGCATGTCGTGTGCAGGTAACGGCAGGACTCTGCCAGTTGTGCGGCCTCTGAATAAGCAGCCTGGCGCATCTCAGGACTATGGCTTACATAGAAGGCTGTAGCCAGAACAGGAACACCTCAAAGACCAGGTGATGTGCTTTGCATTTGGCCTCCAAGTCCCCCGGAGCCACAGAGCAGTTCTGAGCCCGTTATGATACAACAGGGCGATATTTAGGGATAGTTTCTCAGCCCTTTAGCCTACTGGAGACTCAAAACCACAGAATAAAGAGCGTTGTTATTTCCTATTCTTGTGACTCTATTTCTCAACAACCTATGACCCATGCACTGGCTGACAATATTTTCATCATTACAGCTTGCTCCAAGTGCACGAAGACCAGCTCTGGTCAGCTGTGTCTGGGCATTTGGGATACCGGAGCGTTGTCAGCCTCCGGGGCAGCCAGCCGGCCGAGGGCTCGGCCTGTGGGCCAAAGACCCACCGAACGAGCAGCTCACAGGGGCTGCACAGCATGCCTGGGGTCTCCCTCTGCCAGCCGGCCGCCCTGACGCTGCTGCTGATTTTCATAACGTTTCCCACTTTCGAAGCTAGGAGGGAAGCCAAGGAAGCAAACGCTAAGCTGGGGCTGGACAGGTCCCAGTGGGGACAAACAAATGCAGGAATGTGCAAAGATGTCTCAAATAAACACTTCTTTTGAATTAATTGCCACAAGCATGTCCCCTTTAATACTATTATTTTGTCTTGAATTTGTCCTTTGGGGAAATAGTTTGCTGATTTCTCCCATATGAGCAGAGCACTGTTTCAGCTACCAAAGATTAGTTGTCTAAATTTATCAGTTCGGCTTATAAAACAGGGTTGATGGCTCACTGTCAACGGGGGCAATGGCCTGGTGGGGAAGAGAGAGAGCCCTGGCCTGACGCCGACTGCATGTGACTCTGTCTCCACAAGACACCTGCTCTAAGGTCTCAGGAGGGGTTCTGACTGTTATTTTTCTCATCTGTAAAATGAAGATGATAATCTTCACTATTTCATACAGTGTCCTGAAGACAAATGAGTTTCAGTATATGTAGAAAAGACACTGACATACTAAGCACACACAAAAAAAATGTGACATGCTTCTATTTTATTATTATTATTATCTTGTGTTTCCTATGTCTCTTTCTATTCCTCAACAGGACGGAGGAGATACGTGTATCTGTAAGCCGTAAACTATTAAAGATACATGTATCTCTCCAAAGCATAAATCACTAAAAGGAAAAAAATGCTGTAACTTTCAGAATGTAACAGAAATCCAGAAGGCTTTGCATATTTTTTCCTCTGACAGGTCTCCATTCAGACCTCCTTCTAATTTCCTGGATAAGCCAGGCTTCTCTGAATGCACACCACTAACAGTTTTCCAATCAAAGATATATTAAGGTCACTAAAATACCTGGTAGCTTGTTGAATGAAAATACTTAATTAGCATTATTGATTATTCCTAAACCAATAAATGTGATGGTGTAACACTAAGCTGGATTAACATTTTCCTTCTCACTGCTCCTCAAGGTTTACTTGCAAAGGAATGGTTTGCAGAGACAACGACCCTCCCAGAGGGGACAGCCCTGGCCAGGGATGCACTTCACAAATAGTAATAAATACCCACTATCAAAAGGTAGGTTGCTCAGATACAGGAATGGAAAAAAAAAAAACATCTTCCTGGAAATTGTGTGACGTAGGTTATACTTTTTGATTTTTAGAGAGACTTTCTGTTTGATTATAGCACAAATTCCCTCATTTTTTACCTCATGTTGGTCATCTGTAAGATGGGAATAATTTAAATCTTCCTTATAGTGACCCTGTGATATTTTGAAAGATTAAAACAAAATAAAATTGTGAGTACCTTGAGTCCACAATGCCATGAAGGACTGATACCAAGAGTATTTTATGTACAGCAACAGACGGCACTCTTTGTTAGTTCCAGCGTGATCGGCATGACCAGCTAATTGCTGCATTATTTCATAAGGAAGTAGGTCAGCAGGGGCACCAAGCTGAAATTTAAAAAAAAGAAAATAGCATGTATGTGATGATCGATTCTTTGAATTATTCGTTCTCGTCATTGATTGCTTAGTTAAATAATACAGATACAAAATTCCAAAGGGCCCTCTAGAAGTTAAGGTATTAGGGCAACAGCATATTTCTGTGGCTTGGAAGGATCTGTCAGATATACAAAGGGTTCTGTTTTAAAGGAGAACCTGGCTACAAAGCTTTTCCCAACTTTTCACCCAAAGCTGCTTAAATTAAATAGAAAGATAGAAATACAATGGAAGGACAACAAGACTCTCAGGCAAACCTGCACCAGAATCTGGGAGGGATCTCCAGGGATGTAAAAGCAGAGAGAGGAAGAGCCCTGAGAACAGAGCATGCTGGGAATTTCTATTTTTCATATATTACAACATTTCCAGATGGGCAGAAAGTCAGGAATTGGAGCTTAGGAAGAAAATGCCATCATAAGGCAATAGAATTGTCAATTAGAATATATGGTAAAAATTGTGCAAAGAGCTGATATGTTAGCCTAACAGTGGGAAAATAGTTGTGCTAAGATCTACTGTCCTACAGTTTGCACAGAATAATATGGTCATTTATTTAAGTGTGAGTAGAGACAAACTTTCAAAACCACAATAAGTCGAAAATGGTGTGTAATTGAAGGAAGAGGGAAAATGAACATAATTTTCAACACCTATATTAAAAACATACCTCTTAAAGCTACTTAACTACTTTAGAGTGATATTTGTCATCCTTCATTGGATGCAAAAAACATTTTCTCTATGAAATAAGATCAGAAATTTATAAGGAAAATGAAAGAAGAAAAGTATGATAAGATCATAAGATACACAAGTGATAAGCAAAAGACACACACACAAAAAAAACCCTGAAAATGAAATTATAACTCAGAAATTCCACTCATGCTTAACCTTAGAGAAATTCTTATGTAGATGTACCAGGAATTATATATGTGAATGTTTATCATAGAATAATTTGTAACAGCAAAAATCTGACAACAACTTGAATGTCTGTCCATTAGTAATATAGTGGATATATACATACATTTTAAAATATTTAAAATATGCAATAGTTAAAGTAAATCCACAAGAAAATCAAAAAACCTCAGAATTTGTAACATTGAATCAGGGATCTTAAGGACAAGCATCAGTACTTTTTGCAGAAAGCAGAGGAAAATGATGAAAAGATGAAAATCCTAAGAAATAAGATAGTCATGGAACAGAACCAAAACTGAACCCAAGAGTTATAGGTTATCTCAAGAAAAAGAAAAAACAAGCTATTACAGTAGATGTGATCATGCAAGATACGCCAGAGCGAGGAAAAAGTCCAAAACTTTACATGGATGACACCACTAAAGGACTTGAACGTTAAGATTAAAAATGTTAACCATACTCACAGCAAAAAATTATTGAAAAAAATGAAACAGAACCACCTTAAGCTATGTTCTGGAAAAACACTTTGATTTCAATGATTCAGAAAGTTTATTTTAAGCAGTCAGGAAGGAAAAGAATTAATTACTTCTAATAAAATTGGAACACATACTATTTATAAGGCTTTATTTTCCAGAAATAAAATTATGGAACTCAGTGCAACATCTCTTAGGGACAAATTGTGAGGGTAAAAGTTTCAAGAATTGTGTTCCCAGACAATTTGACCTTCAGTTATGAAGGAAACAGAAAAATATTTTCAGGCTTACAACAGCTCAGAAAATGAAATATCTATGTGTGCTTCTTGGAAAGATTAGAATTATGCTCCTAGTGATCAAGAGATGAATCCTAATGAAGACGTCAAGCAGAGGAAGCCATGGTAAACATTAAACCAGTTCAACAGAAGGGTAACCTCAAGAGTTATTGCTGATATTGTTCCACAACAGAAGGTAACCATATCAAGTAAACTATTAATTTATTGATAATTATATGGATCTAAACTTGTAGATTATAGTTAGAGAAACATGGAAGTGAAGAAAAGACAAAGCAAAGAAAGACACAGGGCTTAATTCCTTATTATCTCCTATGTAAAGAAAGTAAAAATTTCTTTTATAATCAATGAATTCAGTAAAGTTGCAGAATGCAAAATTAGTAGCATTTCTATACACTAACAACAATTTTTCTGAAAAAGAAATAAATAGATTCCATTTACAATAGCATCAAAAACAATAAAATACTTCGGAATAGTTTAACAAAGCAAGTGAAAGCTCTCTACTTTGAAAACTATAAGGCATTGAGGAAAGAAGTCAAGGACACAAATAAATGGAAAGTTGTCTCATGTTCATGGACTGGAAGAATTAATATTGCTAAAATGTCAATTCTACCATAAGCCATTTATAGATTCAATGAAATCCCCCTCAAGATTCAATTGACATTTTTTTTACAGAAGTAGAAAAAACACTTCTAAAATTTATATGGAACCACAAAAGACCTCAATCAGCCAAAGAAATCTTGAGAAAGAACATAATAGGAGGCATCCGGACTTCCAGCTGCACTAAAATGCAAGCTATAGGGTGGCACTAGCATAGAAACAGACAAAAAGACTAATTGAATAGAACCAAGAGACCAAAACTCAGTCCAAATATATATGGTTAACTAATATTTGACAACAGAATCAAGAATACTCAATGGAAAAAAGCCAGACCTTTTCATAAATGGTGCTGGGATAATTGGATATTTACAGGTAAAAGAATGAAACTGGACCCAGGTCTTATACCACTCACAAAAATTAAATCAAAATGGGTTGAACAGTTAAGTGGAAGAACTGGAACCATGAAATTCCTCAAAGAAAACGTAGGAATAAAGCTCCTTGACACAGATCTTGGCCATGGTTCTTTGGGCTATGACACTTAAAGCACAAGCAATAAAATAAAAAATAAACAAGTGGGACTACAGCAAACTAAAAGGCTTCTGTACAGCAAGGAAACCATCAATAAAGTGAAAATAAAACCTACTAAATGGGAAAAAAAATTTGAAAACCATAAATCTGATAAGGGATTAATATCCAAAATATACAAAGAATTCATACAACTCACTAGCACAAAAACAAGCTATTTTTAAAAAAGGCAAAGGACCTGAATAGCTATTTCTCCATGAAGATATATGAAAGGGCAATAGGCACAGGAAAAGATGTTCAGTATCATTAGTTGTTAGGGAAATGCAAATTAAAACCACAGTAAGCTATCTCCTCACACCTGTTAGAATAGCCACCATTAAAAGGACAAGAGATAACAAATGACGGCACGCGTGTGGACTAAAGGAAACCCTCATGTGCCGTTGGTGGGACTGTCAATTGGTACAACCAACTGAGAGCCAGAATGACCCTCAGAGCAAAAACTAAAAATGCTTAGTATAGATGCAAAAGTTTGAATAAAAGATCAGCATATTTCATTCAGATTATATTAAAATGATCATTTACCCTGAAGAATGAAGGATTATCCTAATAATTAATTTATGTAATTCCTAGCAAATAAATCACACCAATAGATTACAAAATAAACACAAAAGCATCTCAGTAGACTGGAAAATAATTTTATAAAATATAATGAACTCTCTTGGGTTTTAAAACCTGCTTAATAAGCTCAGAGTAAATGATAATTAATTGGCAGTGTAAAGAATATTTGTCTTTAACATACAGCCAATCACCATATTTTATAAAAATATTGGTGGCATCATAAACAAGGCAAAAGTATGTGTTATGACAACTATCATTCCCAACTGTTCTAGAAGTGATAAACAAACAAACAGAAAAATTAGGTGTATTTGTGAATTAAAAAATAATTGAGAACATATACAATTATTTACAGATAATGATTGTTCACTTTAGCAATATAAGGGAATCAACTGAAAAGTGTAAAGTGTAAAATTCAGTAAGTAACCAAATACAAAATAAATATACAAAAGTTCAATCCAATTTCCTAAACATAATGAAAAATATACAATTCATAATAACCATATATCATAATAAGCAAGAATAGTTTTTAAAAGAATTGTGTGAGAGCAATACAAGAAAATAACAAGAGGTTATGAGAAGAATAAAAAGACTTTCATAAAGAGAAGAACATACTTGGGGCTGAATGGGGAGAAAATAGGTTTAATGCGATCAATCAAAGAGCCAGTATATATTCTTGGAATACCATATGATAAAGTATCTTTTCAAAGCAATTTCAAAGGTCATCAGGAATAAATAGGAGAAACTTAAAAATCTGAGAATTCAATGGGAAAGTTTGTCCCATCAAACTGTAGTGGGATGTGAAAACAGATCTAACAATGGAATAAAATACATAGACAACAAAATTCATAATAACCATATATCATAATAAGCAAGAATAGTTTTTAAAAGAATTGTGTGAGAGCAATACAAGAAAATAACAAGAGGTTATGAGAAGAATAAAAAGACTTTCATAAAGAGAAGAACATACTTGGGGCTGAATGGGGAGAAAATAGGTTTAATGCGATCAATCAAAGAGCCAGTATATATTCTTGGAATACCATATGATAAAGTATCTTTTCAAAGCAATTTCAAAGGTCATCAGGAATAAATAGGAGAAACTTAAAAATCTGAGAATTCAATGGGAAAGTTTGTCCCATCAAACTGTAGTGGGATGTGAAAACAGATCTAACAATGGAATAAAATACATAGACAACAAGCCAACTCAAGCAGATTAAAAAAACAAAACAATAAGAATGGAAAAGTTCCCAGTGAGATAAAGGTGATATCACAGGTTAGTGAACATATAAAAGACAATTCATAAATGGTATGAATCAACTATTTAACAAATGGAAATAAAGTTAGTTCCTCACTTTATAACATAAACCAAAATAAGTTATGGAATAATTAAATATTTTAATGCTAAAAACTGAAACCACACACACAGACACACACAAACTTAGAAGAAAATGTGGGCATCTATCAGATTCAGGATGGGAAATGCTTTCTAGCATTAAAAGCATTGAAAGAAATCATGCAAAAATACTATAAATTTGACAATG